CCTGGGAATAAGTTGTGGCAAGATTTTAGCGATCTTTTTGTGTGATTGGACCCGGAAACACGTCACAACTTAAAAGTCTATATAGACCCCTTGCATGTGACGTCAAAGCAACTTAATTTGGAGGACAAAACAAAGTTAAATCTCATGAGAATTGAAAACCTTTTGCGAAGTCCTTCATATTGAGCTGCATTCCGAAGTGCAGCAAGGGCTTTATTTAACAATTCGCTCATAGATTTCCGTTGACTGACCTCTCATTGATCATAGATGACGTCTTAAATGTTCAAAACTCAAGTGGAACCGAGCGCAGCTATGTTTCTGTCCACTTATTGATCATAGTTGTTAGCCAATTAGATTCTGAGAATGCCCTCTGTTATTATGAAAAGGTACTTGGTGCTTCACTTTGATATCTTTAAATCGATGTACGAACTCCGCCTTTTTGAAACATCAAAGTCAAGCGCCGATACATAATTGGTTAGCAGTAAAGAGCACAATTAAAATTGTCAAATAGCTATCAAAAAATTGCAGAAGTGTTCACGGTACGGCGGGTAGCACACTTGAATACCAATGGATATACGGAATCTTCAGTGATAACCACGCCAAAGACTCGAAATATGCTAGGTTACTCATTAGCAAGGATTTGTATAATCTACTCTTACAATATTTGGAGAAGCAAATCTGGTCGTCTCTGTGTGGTGGGTAGTAATCTTACTAGTATCCTATTACGACCACTTATTTTATAATGTATGAAGTTGTCAGTGTGTAATCAGTCGAATAGGCAGAAATAATGAGTATAGGTTAATATCTATTAATCTCTGTTTGTCTAGCACTATTACGCAGGTTGTTAAGTAAAATTACTTAACAATCCAACACTTCGCTTCTAGTATTAGTTTTCTTAAAGGGCTGAAGTGAAAGAATCTTTAAATTTATTACATTAGTTTAATGGATGAATGATTTGGGTTGGCTGAACTACATTGTACTAGTTAACATGTACGTATACATTGTTGGAGATACAAAATTTCAAGTCACGAACGTGATACATCCGAATAAGTGATGTCATATCTGACTGGAAAGCCCACACAATTTCTTTTATGTTTCAATGCTTCGTCACAAACTAAGTATACGCTATTAACCTCTGTCAAAACGGACTTTCTTCCAGATTTGGAGATTTGGAATTTTCTACCTTGATCAGTTCCGTATTATCGTGGTTTTTTTTTTTTTTTTTTTTTTTTCCCAGCAACTTCTTTAGCTTGCTATTCTGGTTTATCGTGAGAGGTATCAGGTGTCGATATCAATAATGCTGATATCCAAGTGCCTGGGAATTAATACTATGCAGATATCAAAAGACACGCAGGCTCCTAACCCTCCTTCTAGAAAGATCACATATTACACTATAAATTGGATATTGTCGTACCTTTACAGTGGCGGATCCAGGGGGGTCGAAAGGGTCCACGGAACCCCCCTTGAAGGTTTGATCTGTTAAGTAATAGAACTATGTCTTATATAAATTTTGCTTAAAAGTATCCACAAAGATAATGTTGAACACGAAATGATAGATATTTGTTGTTATAATGTTTAATTTACCTTTAAGTTCCGTTACTAGATAGTAAATTAGGTGATTAGAGCCAATTTTTTTGTCAAACATCGACTAAACAAAAGAGAATTATACACAGTTTAAGAAACGGAACCCCCCTTTGAAAAATCCTGGATCCGCCACTGCTTTATAACACGACATTCCATCCGCTCAGCTCTATAGGCCTTCAGTTGCCTTGCCATGAGATTAAAGCAAAGGTACGCGACGTAACTGTAGTACGCTCGCCTCTGACCTGAGTGGGGTCTCAGGTACGACTCCTAATCACATGTGCGAGGTCACCTCCTTAATTCAAGGTTTTTTTCTTCGGCATGTTCGGTTTCCTCCCTCTGCAAAACCTTTTAACAAGCTAATTTTCAATTCCATCTGTGAGGTAGACTACGTACGCGTCCTGAATTACAAAATGTTTCCGGCAGCCGAAATGAATAACATTTGAAGTTTAAGGGTTTTTTACTGTGCCGAAATAGATTTTAAAAATGCAAGAATTTTGAAAAGGATTTCAAGTGTCTAGATCACTGACCGCATCGAGTACTGACATTGGTTAAGGGCTTAATTAATCGTCGGCAACAACTTTTTAAAGCTTTATTTTACCTTGTTTCGATAGTTAGTTTGCGTCATTCTAGAAGTCTCGCTCTTCGTCGCGTGTCGAAAAGTATACCTTGTGTTTTGCCACTTTCAGCTCGAATATTAAGTAACTGCGACAATCTGATTTACAATTCTCCAAGAGGCCAATGGAGGACAGAAAGGGACGCTTATAGTATTAGGGGTCGTTGCTGATAAATTACGATTAATTGGAAATGAAAATTTTCCTCTGAATTGAATTCCAGCCCTGCAAGTGACAACACGATTGAAAACCAACTTGTGTTGGGTAAAGGAAAAAATTAGCCGTAGATACAAAGCTATCTTCGTTTTTGGTTTTGTTCCAGCCAAGGCTTCCGTCGTCCATCGTTTTTACTTATGTCAAATTCACCTTTTTTTTAAATCAGAAGAGATAACAAGCCAAAACTTAGTGTCAGCTGCGTCGGTGTTTCTAATGAAACAGTAGTGATAAAAGGGTAAATTTTATACCATGAAAAGATGAAAAAATGAAAAAAATTATTGATGTTTCGGACGCTAGTCCTTCGTCGGAGTAAAAGACTACTCCGACGAAGGACTATAGCGTCCGAAAAGTTCGTAATTTTTTTCGTTTTTTCATCTTTTCACGGTATAAAATTTACCCTTTTATCACTACTGTTTTTTAAAAAATCAGACAATCAGTTAATGTAACTAGTGCTTTATTTAATGCTTTACTAGTCTCTTCTTACCTCTAGCTCTGTATATCAGCTTTCGATCGGAAACGGAAGAGTACTCCTAAGGGGTACGCAAAATCTAAAAAAAAAAACGTCCGAGGAATATCCAAGGATAGTGCAAGTAGTCTCTCTCAGCTCTGTCCTTCATGTTTTATTGATTTTGCATTACTTTCTTATCAAAGCATTCGTAGCACCACCACTACTGGTATCCCACAGAGGGCAGTATCCGGGCCCCTGATAAAAAGCTGAAAAAGTCCTCACTTTCATGGTTCTTTGATTCTATTTTCCTGGGTCATCCCAGGCTTCATGAACATACTATTGATTTAACAGACAAAAAACAGTTTTCCGTGTTTGATACTCTGATCAAAACACACGGGATGTTGAGAGAACACGAGAGGAGCGTAGGAAACCACGACACGTAGCGGAGTGGTTTCCAGCTTCTCGAGTGTTCTCTCTACATCCCAAGTGTTTTGATCAGAATATCACATACGGGAAACTGTTTTTTGATCTGTTTTATAAAATAACAAACACGCCAAAAAAAAAAAAAAAAAAAAAAAATCGTATTATTATTCTGATGTATTTTCAAATATGACGCGAGCGGTTTTGATACCCTCCTCAAACATGGTTTTCGACCAATCGTAGCGCGTGTACTATCCCAATTATTTTATAAATAAACCTTAATAACTTCAAGACGCAAAATTCAATCGAAGAAATATTTTCACCATTCAACTATTCACTATATGTAGAACCAATACTGAAAGTATTGTATCAGGGGCTACTAGTTGCACTCTTAGGAATAGGGAACGGAAATTTTTGTGCCAATAACAAATTTACCTATTCATATACTCATTTCTGATTGGCTGGTTGGTGATGATTTTTCCTAATTCACAACCCCGAACTTTATACCTTGTGTTTTGGTTACAAA